CAGTTACCGTTTAAAAAGGTGGTATTTAGAATACAGTTACTTTGTTGAAATAAATGGATTACACGGCGGTACTTCCCTGTTTCATATTGTCGCGGGTCAGGACTGTTTGGGTTTTGTTTGTTCTGTTGTTCCATGCAGCAGCGTTACGGTTGCCATGGTTACAGGGTGACGCTCTCTCTGCGACTGTGTGTTTCCTGGGTGAGAGAGCGCCTTTTTGTTGTTGTTGTTGTGCTAAGCTAACAGGCAGAATGCATAGCACTAAAGAATGTAGCCTCATGGGCAGTGTAGTCCGTGCTGCAGGGAGAATGGACTGCCATACCCGTTATGTGTATGGCAGTTATATTTTTCGGCTACGAGCCCAACACGGAACCCACCGTATTAGCCAGAGGTCCCTTTACTACGGTTTGGAGCCGTAATAGTAATAAATCACACAGCAATAGGACATTCATGTAGTTGTAAAAAGCATGATAATATATTAAGCAATCCAAAGTATTCAGAATACGTCACTCTCATTGAGTAACGTAACAGAATAAAATGTATTCTGTAATCTGTAGTGGAATACATTTTAAAAATAACCTTCCCAACACTGGGCATCGTTCTAATCCTATACGGGAGCAGCCAGACACTTACTGACTAACACTGCCAAACAGAATTGTTAAAGTATTAATTTTAATTTCAATTCAGGTTAGATTTTTTTTGTGCGCAACGCAGATTTTCTGTGCGCAGAGACCGTGCCAGCAGTGTGCAACTGCGCACACGCGCAGCTTAGTGGGAACATTGGGTGCAACCCCTCCAAAAAAATGTAATTAAGTTAAAATGAATGGTTGCCTTTTCTAGACCCGCCACAGACTGGTAAGCTGTCCAAGCTTGTACCCCGCCTTCCTCCTTCCCCTGACCCTGAATTGAATAAGCAGAAGAAAATGGCTTGATGCATAGATAAAAATAAAGTTTCTTTTAGTCTTTCCCAAGACAAATTGTACTAGATTCAAACATCACTCACACTCTCTTATGAGTGGTGAAGGAATTCTTTTGGAACAAAAGCAACAAATACTATAAAACAACACATAAAACTGTATTACTGTCAAATTTAACATTTACAAGTATCAAAAATAGAAGTATTTATTTTCCTGAAAAATGCTCCCCATCAGCATTACATTGATCAGTATTACTGCTGAGGATGTTTATGGTTCGAAAAAACCTTCATATTCAATAAAATCATAGGTTTTGCAGAGGCTGTGCTGTGAGGACCACAACAGCTTTTAATCAGCTCAGAAACACAAGTCTACATGTTGGTTTCAGGTTTAAGGTTTTAATCTTTCAAGCTCAAATCGTCAAGTCCAAGTCTGTCCCGGGAAAACAACCAATTAAAGAAAGAATGGAGATGGGGAGCAGGGGTGAGGGGAGGGTAACTTACTTGCTATCTTCGAGGTCAAAGACAACATGGTTAATGATGTCATCAGTTTTCAGAAAACGCTGAATATCTTCAAACACTTTCTGTCTGATAAACACACAAGCATAGTCAAGCGTCGAATATTCGAATCACAGTCCTTGAAATATGTTTAAAAAACCTATCCTTTATATTTACAGCAGCAGTAAATATCTGAGTCATTATTAAATACTTATTGCTCAAATACTTATATACCTCCTGCTGTGATCGCTATACTTCCTCTTTAGGCTGTAACATCAGTCAGTCATCTGTTCTTTTCTGCTCACAAAAGTTTTTGGTCAATTTATTCAGTCTGTTAGTGTCACCAGCTGTGATGGTATAATGGATAAAGCTGATCAAATACAAAAGCAATCCAGGAGGTTTAAACATTTCCCCTGCTGCCACCTCTTGCTGTGATTGGACATAGGTGTTTCACATCATTACACCAGGTTTCATTATATTACATGCTAATAGTTTGCTATTGTCCAGTACTAAAACCCTGTCATCGCCTCTGTTGCTTTTCTTACCATATTAGGAATACGGTTAGTGGTAAACATGTGGCCATCTGGAGTGAATGCTCTCCATTCTTTTCACTATAAAAATGCTTAGAGGTCTAACTTTCTACGTACCTGTTACATGAACTACATTATTATTGCATGTATCTAATACCTCTGTATGTTGGGTTTGCGTGGGGCCATGGGTTGATGTCCTGGTGGTGGAAGATGACCCCAGAAATCAGGAAAGGCCAGGATGCTAAAATCTGGAATGGATTTGGTTTTGGAAGCTACAGCACAATATAGCTTGGGATCATGGTGGGGAATACCGGCTCCGTGCCGCTCCAGTAACCTGTCTATTATTGTATGATGATAAAATTCTTCTGTTCCATCTTCTTCATTATCTTGCTCATCTTCTCTCTGACATGGGGAGGCTTCTCCCCTAGAATTAAAAAGGAATGAGGTCAGACTCCTATAATGAGAATTCAAAAGCAACAGCAAAGTCAGAAAGATTTAAATTCTTTCAGTGATGCACACGGAGTTAGTCGCCGAACACCAGAAACCAAACAAAACAAAACCAAATAAAAGTTAGGCTGACGGGACTAGGGTGATAGTACTGCTGGAAGAAGAATAACAATGTAGACCATGTCCTCTACTAATTGGAAGGTTGGTCCCTGTCTGCTCCAGTCTACACCCCAAATATCCTCGCGCAAGATACTAACCAAGCTGCTCAAGTTGCAATTCCATTCGAGTATGTGAATGTTAAATAGAAAGCACTTCTGTAGACAAAATGAAGGTGTGAATGGATGAATCAGGCAAGTTGGATTTCTGCATCATGTAAATAAATGCCACAGTTCTGGCCTTGAAATCTCCTCATGCTGCTTGTCAGTTTAACAAGCAGTAGATTTAAGTTTTTGACAGTTTGTTTTGCATTGTCAGGATAATTTACAGCTCGACAGAACCTTAGTCCATGCAGTACATGCAGTTAGCATGAAGACTTTGAGCTTACATTGCCCCTCTAACCATGGTCCTGAACCCAGGGCTTGTGCCCAGGATGCTGCTGTGACTGTGGAAATCACACGCTTCTAAATGGGCAGCAGCTGAAGAGTGAGAAAGGGAAAATAATCCATTGAGTTTTTAAATTCCCACAAAACAAATGAAGGAGCTAATGCAGTGATGTGAAAGAATTTTTGTGAAATTAACTTGTAATTCTTAGAAGAGGTCCCGAGTATTGTTTACTTAGCAGAGCAAATAAAAATCAGTGGAATTAATGAGAATGAAAAGAAATGTGCAATATTTCTTGCAAAAGAAACAAAATAGATTCACGATTGAGTGAAAAAGACAATAATGTGTTATTTTGCAGATATTTGACCAGCAATTAGTAGCTGGCAGAATTGTAAACTTATAATTTATTAGTTTAAGGCATGGTCAGTAATCAACAGTAATCAGGTTACTAACTCAATTCACTAGCTGTGAGGTACTCAAGCAGACATTTTTAGTCTGTTTTAGTTTTAGAATTGGCTCAGTATTTCATAAATGTCAACTTTTAAACTTTTAATTAAAGTGAATAATTTAATCATTAAAAACTGATTTTAAAAATCTGTCAACAACTAACAATAATAAAGAATGAATGCTTTAATATTTCTGATGAGGTTGTTAAAACCTCATTAGAAGGTTTCTTTGCTGTGTTTTTTACTCTTTGACTGTACTTAACTGGTAACTTTGCATGTTTAGGTGCTATAAATTTATATAACTTATGGTATGCTGTCCTTGGCCAGGACACTCTTGTAAAAGAGATTTTTAATCTCAAGAGTTTTTTCCTGGTTAAATAAAGGTTAACATTTTTAGCCGTTATAAAGCTGTGTTTAAAAACATTGTTATAAACATTCAAATATATTAATGATTTTGCTCTTAAAAGTAGATGGTAAAGAGTGCTACTCATTCTGCTTCTGTTTGTGAGAGGGATAAGCATAAGCTGGAAATATGCATCACTTTCTCTATAGGCTGATGTCATTATCCAGAGCTATCTTTTTGTAATTGATCATAATTTTTCAGTTCAATTCAATTTTTTTACGTAGCACAAAAACACAACAGAAATCTCAATGCAACTTTTCGTAAAGTAGAGACCCTACTTTTGGACCAGTGTTGCTGTGTGTTTAAGCTGGCTCTGACCTGGCATGTCTCTACTGGATATTTCCATCTCTGAGTAAGAACCATCAGAGGTAGAGGAATCTCGACTTGCAGTAGTCTTTGTCCTGTCCTTGTTAAGCAGCACTACCTCATCATCTGATGATGATGATGCTGTTGAACTATCCCCTGTCTCTGAACTCAGATCCAGATCCTGAAAAACACAGATATAGTCACGTCTTACTCTGGAAAAACACCAACTGTACCTTGCAAGACCTCACAAAAGATGCTTGATTTTTTCTGAAGAGGCTTTGTGTAAACATGTGGGCAGTTGTGAGCTAACCCAGTCAGTAGCCTATGTACAAACCTTGGAGGCCACTTGGTCTTTTGAAACATGAGCTATGTTCAGTTATAGAGTCAATGCTGCATCATTTATTTCCAAGGTGAGGTGAGTGTGGAACTAGCAAATACATAATAGAGAGCCTTTTGAACAAACTGTTACCTGGCTATGTGGCATTACAAAGTTTTGATTATATAGAAAATTATGTGGATGATGTGTGCAAAAGTGAAAAAAATTATGTTGAAATCGTGATTGCCAGCGTAATAAGTATGCCATGTTAAACAAGAGTCTACCTATTAGCCTCCTTCTTCCACACTGAGGGTGATGAGATGACATTTCTAGACATCACGTTGTTTGCTTCCGGTCCACATAGATCATACTATACATATATATACAGATAAACTGACTCTAAAACCTGAAAATACATGTAGAGGTTAAATATTACAGACAATATTGTTGTCACTCTACAAAATCATTGTGTGGTGACGTCACGGTGACATCAGCTGCCAGTAACAGCATTTATATTGTGTTTTTCTAGTCTAACTGGCCACTCAAAGTCTTTCAGACTACAAGCCACACATAAGCACACAGTGCTTTATTTTATATAATTTAAGCACACTATCTACCTCACATCCATGAGCAGTCTTTGGACAGTGGGAGGAACACGAAGTGAGGAAATTCACACAGGCACAAGTGCAGGAAATGCCATATAGAAAGGCCGTGATATCTCAAAGACTTGAATCAGAACTCTTCCTGCTGTGAAGTGACAGTGCTAACCTCAGCGTCACTTTAACATTTTGTCTGATTTTGTTTTTCAATGCAGGTGCATCCCTGCATTGTAACAAGATGATAAAGGTTATCAGTTCATAAGTGATTTTACTGTTGGCTCTTTAGTGTATCATTACAAGATGGAAAAATCTTAATTAGGTGACAACATATTCCATTTCAGGCGGTACAGTACAGTCATGACCAATACGAACACGTGTTTTGTTTGTTCTTCACTATATCATAGAAATGTCTGAAATTAACTACAAATTTAAATACAACTTGAAGCTGTTGTGTAGAGGTCAGCCCTGTTGCCTCACAGCAAGAAGATTCTAGGTCTCAATCTGCCAGCTACCTGAAGCATTGCTGTGTGGACTTGGCATATTCTTACTGTGTGATCTCTCCAGTATGCCAGGTTCAAATCACAATCCAAAAGGCATGCATAGAAGGTTCATTGGTGACTTTAAATTGGTCTTAGGCAGGAACGATATTCTGCCTCTGTGTCTTGGCTGTAGGTGTCCACTGATTGGAGTAACTTGGTTTGTGGCTGCTGTGAGCCACACTTGTTTTCCATCTTTCCCCATTTTGTCTTTTAGGTCAACAACTAGAAAAGACTCCAGGGGGATTTCTCTAAATTCATTTTGAGTTCCTGGGGGAGGTGTTACACCCCTCTGCAAGCACTACCTGCCTTTAAAGTGGCACTGCCAATTGACTGGGTTTAATTGCTAATTGTCTGTACTTGACAAAGGGTGGACCTTGTTATGCTCTCCTAACTGATTCCTTTTTGCTGTCATTTTTCAGCTTAAATAAAGTTGTGGTTTCAGTCTCCATTTTATGTTGTGGTTTATGAACCAGGTCATAACACAGCCCTGTAATGGACTGGTGATCTGTAGACAGCTGGCACAGGATCCCTGCATTCCTGAACTGGACAAGTGGTTAAGAAAATATCAAATCTTTTTCATCGATCTGTACCATTTTCTTACTTTCTACTTAATTACTTAGTAACATTTCAGTTTTATGGTTGTGTTTAAAGTTAATCTAGACAAAGGGTTTGGCTTCATACAGAAAAATGTCGGCAGTGTCTTGAGACAAAAAAAAATACAACACACTTATTACTTTTATTGAATTAAACATGAAGCCAACATCTTTTGCCTTTAAAAAAATAAACTTAGCACAAAAAGGAAGTTTGTCTTTGGTCAGTTATTTCTTTGTAACAATGTTTCTTGGCAATGAATATTATACTGGTGGAAAGTCTGTTTATTTCACCTTAAATGGTGCTTGAGAAACTTGCTGAATCGTTGTTGCCAATGCCAAACAGTTTATTCTACTACTTTGTTTAGTGTTCTTTATTGAATCGGATGATTGAAGTCCAAAGAAACAACACATTTGCGGAACTTAACAATTTATCCATCTAACAAACAAATGCACACACACACACACACAAGACAGAGAGCGAGAGAGAGGTGCATACCTGGAAATCATGTGACAGCTCAGGACAAAAGCAGCTGTACTGTGTAAGCAGCTCTTTAGGTCTGTCAGGGTCAGGAGGAAGACGAAGTTTGTTTAGGTCAGTCTCCAAGTCATCATCCTGAACAAAGATGCACACAAATGCATAATGACTCATGAGTCTTCAATATATACTCACAGCAGCATATATCAAATCCACCGTACTGCAGCTACCTACCTGTGGAAGGTAGCTGCAGTACCCAGAAGGTATGCACAGGCCAAAAACCAGATTTCAAACCATAAACTTTCTTGCAGTGAGGTGACAATCCTAAGCACTCCATCTGCATAGACTCACATAGTCTCTGTTGTTGGCCTCATGGTTATCTTCAGCTTCTTCAGCATCGCTCTCATCACTGCTTTCATCTACAACACATATATACACAACAGAAAACCGATAAGTTAGAGTGACTGTTGACTCCAAAGTAAAATTACAATCATAATGGACATTTAATTTATATAGCACATTTCATTATACTTAAACTTCAATTAGGTTTAAACTTAAACAAATGCAAAGGACAAAAACTATGTTGAAATGTATTGACACTTTGATGAATAAAAATTAGATTAAAATGTTCTGAAGAGACAAGATCCAATCAGAACACATCAAGTTGTGTAAAGAGGTGGAGTGAGCTTCTAATTGATCCAATCAGAAGTAATCTCCATGTGCAGCGAGGTTGGATGTGCACAATTTGATCTGAAACTGATTATGGAACAGAATTCCGAAAACCCTCTTATGTCTCATCATTTCCTAATTACATTTAATTTTATTAAACGTTGGCCTTGAGGTCAAGGTCACCGGGATTCAGTCTTGTTCATTTTCAGTAGATACACCTATGGTATAAATATCAAAGTGCTACGTTGCCTCATTCTCAAGTTATTAAATCTACAAACGTGGGTGTCCACGCTGCCTGCTCACTCAGTGGGGTGACGAAAATACCCCATTAACCCTTAATGGAATAAAAATGGCCAGTCTCAGACTACATAAGATTAACTAAAGATTTAATTAGTCTGTTTGGGGCTCCTGAGGTCTAAACAGTTTTTGGAGGTCTATGAATCCTGGGACTTTACCTGGTGTCTCACTAACATCCGTGAAAGCAGGTGTACCAGGCAGGAGAAAGCTATATGCAGACTGATCTGATGTGACTGGTAGAGGAATTCTAGGAAGACACTTCCTCATCAGCTGCACGGATGGCTCCACCAAACACTCCAGATTTTTGCTTAATAAACATGTCTGCACAGAAACAAACAAGAAAATTGAAACAACATGAAAACTCCAGAAAAATGTGAGCTAACAGATTAGTTTAATGTTAATGAATGAGCTATATTGTACCAACAGAATGCCGAAACCTACCCTCCCAAACTCACATTTGTCTTTCATTCATTTTGTCTTTTGTATATTACAGTTTATCATTTTTATGTGGTTTTCTTTTCTCCATTTTTCTTTGGATTTTCTGGTTGATATTCTCCTTTATCTCTATTAAAATGAAAGTACTATAAAATTTGAGCATATTCATTTCCTTGTAAATGAGCAAGCTTGCAAATTCCTCAGGGCATTAGTGAATCATTGCTGCCATTGTATAGCAAAAGAGCTTAAATAAATGTCATGGTAGATAGTACAAAAAAAATAAATACAAAGTGGCAAATCAAATAATAACTGTAGAGAACATAAGACAAGTAGCAGTAAAATGCAACCCGGTTTTTAAAAGGACAGTATTAGGTATTAGTATTACAGCAGGAAATTGTTAATCTGTTGATTTAGCACACTGAGTGGTAAAAAAAAACATTTTAATTGTAGTCATTGACTTGGCTGAATGCACGTTCAGCCCTGCTGTTCTGATATAGCTGCAGACTAGACCTCTAAAACTTTAAACTGGATACATTTCAGCATTAAAATTTACTGTCCCACAGCCTGGTAAAGAAGAACAGGAAATTACTGCAATTTGCCACAGACCAAAGTAAAATTGATGTGACTGGCTGAACAGGTAATCTTAGTGGATGTTCTGTGTTTCCAGCAGCGTAAAACAGACTCACCAGAATCATGTATAAATACTTGATTATACATTAAAATGATACATTTCCTAAATCACCAAGTTAACATCAGCTGCAGTCTCAGTGCTATTTCAGGCTTTGAGACTAAAAAATAAATATAAAATTACTGGCAGTGGCCAGGGGTACCCCTCAGATGCAAGATTTTCAGAAAATCTTTTTTCGGAAAGGTGACCTCTGACCCCTGACCTTGATGTCTAGGACACAGAGATTCAAACTAGTCCGTGATTTTTAGTAGCTACACCTATGGTATCAATATGAAACTAAATTTAAAAAGAAATCCATTAATGCTTTCACAAACTTGGGTGTCCACATTATCCACCTGCCTGCCTACCTAGCAGGGTGTCAACAATACCCTTTTACAGCCAAGGGTTAAAAAACTTAGTCAACATACAAATTAAATATGAGGATCACATATTGATCCAATCAAAGTGTTGTGTTTATTGCCAATAAAGTTGTATCTCCTGATGCTAAACATCATCGATATTCACTTTGGCACCATGGACACACCCTTCAACAAAAACTTTAAAATCTTTGCAATTTAGCATGATAAATGCATTTAGATTAGGTTGATCAAATACAGCCGAGTCGAGTCGATTTAAGTAGGTACTAATGGAAAAAGGACTATACTGGCACACAGGCATTTGGTTTCTACCTCATGAAGTCAGATTAACTTCACCTAGAAACAATTTGAACTCACCTGTGCAGTTTGATATAGGAGTCTGATACCTCCCTGGGATAGAAAAGCCTGCCTGCCTGCAGTGCTGTCAGTGGCCTTAAGGAGGCAGCACAGGAGTGCATGACGGATTGCTATGGCAACATCTTGGTTATCTTTGCTATGCCAGTCCTCATAAAGCCACAAGAAGCCAGAGATGTATCCTTTAGATACCGCAGAACAAACATTTGCCTCTGTGAAGGAGAAACAGACAAAAAAAAGCAGGAAAGGACATAAGTACATTAACATTTTGGATCATTTTTTCTTAATATATACTATATTACTTCAGTAATAACTGACTGGAAGCAGAAATGCATCTATGTATTCCAGATAAACTAGAAAAGTGAGAATGCCCTTTGAATAGTCTGAACTATTTCTAATCTCATTAGTGTGTAACTTTGTTCACTTTTAGCAATCAAAACAAACCAACAAACAAGAAAATCCACTTTTCACGTAGTGCTGTGTTTTTTGCAGTTCTTACATTGTTTAACAAGATGACTGCATTCCTCAGAAGTAGACATGTAGACCCAAATGATTCAATATTAAGTAAAATATTTCATCTTACAATTTTAACTATTTCAAATATATATATATTAAATGCTGCTGGTGTGAATGCTTCTATACTCTGTTAAATGCTGAAGCACTGAAATACTGTAAACATTAGCCTAAATATTTTGCCTGAACAATTTAGACTTGGAGGAAAACTGTTTGGATTCCGACTGACGAAACCTTCCTTTCACCCTGTGACAGCTGGAATAAGCTATAGCACCCCTGAAGTTGATAAGCGGATAAAATTGGGTGGAAACATGGACATTTTTCTTTATGTAAAATAAATCACACAAAAAAACTGCAAACCATCAGGGTCTCTGGCAGGGCAGTGACTGTCTAAAAGGTCACTGCTCAAGTTCAGTTAGTTACAGCGACTTACACAGATGCAAACAATGACACTTGCTGAACTGAGGTATTGGCTGATTTCAGTCTCCACACTGTGGGTCCCAATCTGAACCCCAAATCTGACTACTGAACCTGCTTGAAAATCAGGAAAATAAACTTACACAAACTTTAAGCCTTTTAAAAAATATTTATCTGTCAGTGTCATCACAAACCGCACACTTGCATATTTTTGGGTCAGTCATCTAGTAAGTGCATCATTCTCCAGGTTACAAGAAAATCCAGAATATTTAAGATGCCATTCAGAATGTCACTCGGTCCTTCTCTGCATCTTTCTGAAGTGCATATATCACATCTTGACAAACCAAATCCACACACACAGCAGATAAATAAGCATTGCTCCAAATGATATAAAATTAATCCATAAATTTCGTAAATTCAAATGTGTAATAATGAGAAATGACACAGAGAAAAGGTATTGAACACATGATGAAACAAAGGTGCAAAAAGGCATGAAAAGCCATGACACCAGCTGAAATCTATCAGTAATTAAAAAGCAATCCTGCCACCTATTACCAAGGTGTCACACAACAGGGAATTGTGAATTTTGTGGACAAGAGGAAAGGTTTGAACATGTTAGAATGTGGGAAATATAGACAGGAAAGGGAAATACATAAATCTGAATTACAGAAAAATAGAGTTCAATTAAGGATAAAAGAAATATTACAAAGGAATACAAGTAGAGGAATACTCTTAAGGTCTTTAAAACCGTATTGATTGCATTGGTTACAGAACAATTTCTGAACTACTGAAGGTTCCAGTGAGAAACTGTTGGGGCCAAAATCCAGAAGTGGAAAGATCATTTCAACATAAACCGGCCACAGCCAGGTGTTCACCACAGGATGTCAGACAGAGGAGTGAAAAGACTTTTCAGAAAACTTGTCCAAGAGCTACAGCAAGACCTGGATGCAGCAGGCACAATTGTTTCAGAGGAAAAAAAATAAGTAATGCACTCAACCACCATGACCTGTATATACACTCACCATGCAAGACTCCACAGCTGAAGAAAAAGGATGCTGCGAACAACCGAACAACATTTAGACAAGCCTGTGAAATACTGGAAGAATATAGTCTGGTCAGATGAGACCAAAATTGAACTGTTTGGATGCCATAAAATGCGCCATGTTTGTAGCTCAAAGGTCAAAAGGCACTGCACATCACCCCAAAAACACCATACCAACAGTGACGTTTGGAGGTGGGAAAATCATGGGGTCATTTTTCAACATACAGCACTGGTTTGCTTCGTACAATTGAATGAAGGATGAAAGGAAAAATGTAGGGAGACATTCTTGATTAGAAATCTGCTGCCATCTTCCAGGATGATTAAAATGAAACGAGTGTGGACGTTCCAGCAAGATAATGATCCCAAACACACAAGGAAACTCTCCATTGGTCTCAGGGAAAGGGGAAAGAAAGCTGCTAGAATGGCCCAGCCAATCATCTGACCTGAATCCAGTTGAAAATCTATGCAAAGGATCAAAGCTAAGAATTGGAGTTCATAGAAGGAGCCCACAGAACTTTCAGGATTGGAAGACTTATTGTTTTGTGTGGAAAAAAGTGCCAAAATCACACATGAGAAATGCTTGTTACGAGTTTATCTACACAAGAGATGTCTTGAAATTTTTGCACGAAATATTAAATAGATTTTAAATACTTTTTCTGTGTCATTTCTTTTGTGTGCTTCATTGTGTTTACACTACAGTGGATTTGAAAAAAAGATCAACATGCGATTGAACTGCACACTTCCAGGTTTAATTCTGTGATTTTTAACAGATAGTCCATTAACTGCAAACATTTTGATTAAATATCTGGAATCGTTTACTGTTGAACTTGGAATTAGCAGGCTGGAATTTTCAATGTGAGTCAAAGAGACAAGAAATTGAAATAAAGTGAATTGCCAACAGACTAAACAGCTCACCAACATAATCCCTGAAAGACAACCAAGGTGAAAGCAACCTTCAGCTGCTCCTTTGCTTCTCAGGCAAATGTGAGTTTTTGGCCTAAAATGGCCTGAAAAATAAAGTAGATCATTACAAATCTTTCATTGATTAAGAGAACACCTTTCACATCATGTTGGAAAACCAAGAACAGTTTTCAGGAGACAGGTATATCACTGAAAAAGTCTTCAATCAAAAATGCCATCATGAATACAAATGAAGGGCATTTACGACAAGGAAAGAAAAGAGAATATTCTCCAATTGCCAATTTAGTCACTTGAACCCAACAGAGCATACGTTTCAGTTACTGAATATAAAACTGAAGACAGAGGCCCACAAGCAAAGCATCTCAAGAGAGATTTGGTTTCCATGGGTTCTAGACATTAGGTGGCCATTGACTGTAAAACAATACATATATTTAATAACATTTAAGTTTGTCAAATTGCTTTTGCGTCACATTACTGTTGCTGCTAAACCACTTATAAAATATAACGTAATTAAAGTCTAAATTGTGGCCATTTACTT